CCACTGGATGCTTAGTGTAAACCAAAGCAAGATAATGCCTGCACTTTTTCTAACAATTGTGATATTGGAAATGGCTGCTGGTTCCCATATAGACCGTTGCTGGAATTTTTAAAAAAATACATATATCGTGTGTGAGTGTTATGTGTCCTGCCTGAGTTCATGAGAGATATGTGGTCCTTAAGGTATCCACTGCCAGCACAAAATCTCAGAGGACGGTGTATTATATCTGTGACAGCAGCCATGAAATTAAAAGACGCCTGCTCCTTGGGAGGAAAGCGATGGCGAACCTAAACAGCATGATAAAAAGTAGAGACATCACCCTGCCAACAAAAGTCCGCATGGTCAAAGCAATGGTATTCCCAGTAGTCATGTATGGCTGTGAGAGTTGGACTATAAGGAAGGCCGAGCGCCGAAGAATAGATTCTTTTGAACTATGGTGCTGGAGGAGACTCTTGAGAGTCCCTTGGACTGCAAGAAGAACAAATCAGTCAATCCTCAAAGAAATCAACCCTGACTGTTCCCTGGAAGGCCAGATAATGAAACTGAAGCTCAAATACTTTGGCCACCAAATGAGAAGGGAGCACTCACTGGAGAAGACCCTGATGCTGGGAAAGATTGAAGGTCAAAGAAGATGGGGACAGCAAAGGATGAGATGGTTAGACAGTGTCATAGATGCAACGAACATGAAATTGAGCCAACTTCGGAGGACAGTGGAAAACAGGAGGGCCTGGCGAGATCTTGTCCATAGGGTCGCAAAGAGTCGGACTCGACTGTGAGACTGAACAACAACAACAGCAACAAAAGGAACCGAGGACCCCATTTTCTGGTTCTCATTCATCATCTTACTGGGTGACCTTAGGCCCATCAATTTCTTTGCCCAACATAGTTCGCAGTGTTGTTGAGGATAAAGTAGGATGGCGGGAGGAGGCCTGCCCCATTCTGTAAGCTACTGTAAGCCCTAGCTAGATGTTCTGCCCTTCCATCTGCGCTTATTCAAGGCAGGTACAATAAAAAAAACAAAAAACCATACCCTGAAAGGCTGTGTTCATGCACTTTATGTGAGGTTGAATCGGTAGAGCGTATGTTTTTCAGTTGTCCATTCTACAGAGAGGCTCGTCTTTAAAAAGTTTTTAAATTTAGATTTTTATTCTATATATTATCTCTGTCCCCCCCCCTTCTCATATTATGTTTATATTGTATGCTGGTCTTAAGACCGTAGTAATAAAACTAAACTAAGCTATTGTGAGGAAGTAAAACCACTGGAGTATGAATCCGGGAGCTGAAGACCCCTCTTGCCCACTGGCCACTGGCAGCAGTTCCCCAGCCAGACTGAACAGCAGATGGACGAGAAAGTTGCCGTGACAAGATAACAGACTGTAGTGACCTCCACAGCGCCAGGAAGAAACGGCAGCTCCCAGAAGTTGCTCAAGACAGGTGGGATGGTAGCCAAGGATTAGGTGGCAGCTGTTCTCGCCGCCCTCGCAAGGAGAAATGTTGATGCTGCTCTCCTCTGCCATCCGTATTCCGTGCAGCTCCGTGTTGCCTTTTAACGCTGGCTTTGGTTGGTTATATCGGACAGCGTTAAGTGGTTATGATCAGTGCCTTCAGCGCCGCTTAATAATCCCACAATATCTAGCAGAATGATTTAAGTGGTTTGTCTCAGCGCATGACTCAGTTCTGATTCTGGATATTAAGGCTGCAGACATTTAATAGTCAGTTAATGAGATAGGAAAGTGCAGGGCACATTCAGACGGGGAACCCTTTCCTTCCCTGTAGTTTGGGAGTTGTCATGGACGTGCCCATTTCCTTCCTTGCTTTCAATATAATGTGTCAAAGTTGATACCTGAATGGCATCGTGTTTTGGTCTAAGTCCAATAGCTTCCTGGCCTGTGATACAGAACTCATTTTTTTTAGAAAGGTTAATTTATAAATTTGGGGTCCTTAATTGCTATAAGTTTAGAAGAAGAGAGAAGAGATACCCCGCCCTTCACTCGCAGTTTCAGAGCAGTTTATAGTCGCCTTCCCTTCCTCTCCCCACAACAGAACCTGTGAGGTAGGTGGGACTTGAAGAGCTCTGAGAGACCTGCTCTTGAGAGAGCAGCTCTGAGAGAACTGTGGCTTGCCCAAGGTCACCCAGCTGGCTGCATGTGGAGGAGTGGGAAATCAAATCCGGTCCTCCCAGATTAGAGTCCGCACTCCTCACCACTACACCAAACCGGCTCAGACTTTAGCATTGTGGAAAGTATAGTCAATGTATTCACATTCCCAGAGCCCTTTTGTGTTCATTAATAATCAGTCTATTACCCCCTAACACATGCAGATTTTAAAGCGCATTAATAAGTAGAAAAACAACATGAATCTAGTCTCTTAGCGCCCCACTGTTACAATGATGAACTTAATCCAATAATAAAATGTTCCGTGAGGAGAGCACCGCCGCCTCGGATTCAGAATGCATGTTTCCATTTGGCTGCTGGTGTCTGCAGATGAGGCATCAGCCCGAGGTAAAGATGCTCTCTCTTTTCTCTCCTCCCCCAGTCCTGTTCCCTTGGGGTCATCAGACCATTTCCCAGCAACAGGACTCCCATTTTAAAGGAGCCAGCAGGCCCTTGAGTTTCCAGCCCCGAATCAGGAGAGTTGGTTAAAAATGGTCCCTTGTTTGCTTCTCTTTCTCTGAGGCGATAAAACATAGGCAGATGCTACATGCAGCTTTCCTGCTAGGTTTCTGATCAGCACAAGTTTATTTTAATGGGACTTTTGTGTGTCGAGAAAAAAACGGGAGGCCCAGGCCGTTCACACTGTTTAATGGGACTTTTGTGTGTCGAGAAAATCCGGTCGGCCCAGGCCGTTCACACCGGAGAGACAAGGTTGGAGCACAAATGGGAAGCAGCAGAGCTAAAGGCGTTTTCCTTCTTTAAAGGTTCATAGCACAGAAAATGGAAAACACTAGTCAGGTCGATGTTCCCTGTTGCCATTCCGTTAGCCCATCTGTCTTGGCTTTTGTGGGATCCGGTCCAATGGTTTTTACAAGCACAGCTTAATAGAGCTGCACAGGAGCTTTGAACTGGTCGCCGTCGCGTCGAATGCTCCGTCACAGACTGGTTCTGGGGAGTCCGGGGCACACAGTGGCACATACTCAGCAGAGAACACACTAGCTATCAGATGTAGTTGGCAGACATTTCTTCCCAAGGGCTAGGCCCTGAAGAGGTTAGAGCCCTGCATGGCAAATTTTTTAAAGGGATTGTAGAGCAGAATAACTGTGGCTTCAGCCACTTCTGTTTAAAGAGCCTGTTCAGCTTAGGCTTCAGTGACACGGCATGGCAGGAAAATTTCACAATATGTAAGCAGACCGAGCCTTTCCACCCCCACCTCTCTAAAATCTCCCTTGTGCCGTGCACATGCTTAAATGTCCTTGCTACCTCTGGCCTCCACGCACATGCGGCAGAGAGTTATTTTAGTCTCGATGCCTGGAGCGTGCTACTTGTCGAACAGGCAAAGATTTCCCGAGAATATAATGGCTGAGCAAAGGATTTTGTGCCCTGGATTGCCAAGAAGAGAGACGCTCGTCTCAGCTGCCTCCGCCGCAAATCCAGGCCCCTGCCTCTGACTGCCCTGTAATTCTGAGCTCGTCTGGAGTTATCCCTCTCTAATTTTCTGTGTCTGGGACCGTCCAGAGAGGAGTAATCATCCTATTTTGGGGGGTGCCCGAAAAGCAAGAAGAAGAAACTCAAAAGCAAAATACTGCCTATCGTGGCAACGGCAGGAATGGTTAAAGCCTGTGGGTGTTGTAGTGCAATCAGCAGAATTATATGGGTGCGTTGAAGTAGGTGGGAGATGTTTGAAAGTATGTTTTGAGGTTGCCTGCATGGTTGGCCTGGGGAAGTAGTGCCCTCACCAAACTTGCTTTATTACCAGGAAATGAAGGGCCATTTAAGGCTCCTATAAGATGCTTGTCTGGGCCAATGCAATTCTATTCTGAAAAGTTGGCTCTCTCCCCACTTTCTTTGGCCCCAGTGCAGCTTGCTGTGCAGGGTGGGAGGCCTGTGGTTTGAGGAAGGTGATGTCTGTAAAGCCCCTTCCCGCTCACAGAAGCAGCCTCTCTGTTCTCTAGATTCCAGCTGTTCATTTTGAATCCACAAATACAAGTTTCATTCCTTGCAACTCACCATATTTCCTCTCTTCTTAGCAGCTCAAAGCTTAAAATACATTTTTCAAATGAAGGAACCTTCGACCCTTGTAGCAGCTACATCAGTAGATAACCTGTCACTGCCATTTACAGGAAACACAAGTTTTACAGAGCCCTCCTGTGCCAGCAGGTTCACTCTGAAGTCAATACCATGAATTCTGTTTCTTTGGAAGGGATCATTACTTAATAGCCTGTCTGTACCATACTTAAAAAAACCACACCCCTACAGTAGACTTTCAGTTGGACCCGTAAGTCTTAATGGGTATCTTTTAAAAACAATACAAGCTGGTAGTGTTTGCTGCACAATCCAGGGTAAAGTGAAAGTGCTTAAGAGCCATGGTGTTAGCTGTCGCCACTTGTGAAACTCTGGGCATGGCCCATATTGCAGGAAGTTGGCATCACTGTTCTGGGGTACTTACCCCCCCCCCCCCATGTATTTAGATTTTGGAGTCTTCAGTGCAAACACCTCTTGGAGGATATACTTTGACTGTAAGCTAACAGAGCACATTAGAGCACAGTTTTTTCTTTGGGTTGATTAGGAGCAGGGAACAGAGGCAGGTGGAGTCTGTCATCCCCGTCCCCCAGTAGCGAGTGCATGAAACCTGGTCAAGTGTCTGTCTGCCGGGTGGTCCCATGAATTGATCCTCATGGGAAACCCATCCAGAAGGACATTTGTGATTGTTTTTCCCCATCATCCTTGCCAGCTGTGCCTGTGTCATACCTGTTTTTCAGCACAAAATCTTGGTGTGTTCTTTGCACAGTTCTTAACAATCTTCCTCCATTGTTGATGTGTGTCTCTTTGTCTCTCTCTTTAAAGTCAACTCCCTTGCATTTGGCCGCAGGCTACAACAGAGTTCGGATCGTTCAGCTTCTGCTTCAGCATGGTGCGGATGTCCATGCAAAAGATAAAGGGTACGTATGGCTGCATAACAAATGTTCTGGCTGTCACAGTGGATGTGGATCTGTTGCTATAATCTGATCTCACATTCCTCAGGATCCCCCCCCCCCACACACACACACACCCATTCCGCATTAGTATGAATTTAACCTAGCAAAAGAGCCTTATTTTCATTAGTGGGGACATTATGAGTTGAATATAATTTTAAGTAAATTGTAATTCATGCACACTTATATATACAAAATGTTCTTCGGAAACATCTGTGGGAAAGGAATGCTCTATAATTACTTGCTGGGTTAGGTAAAGCCCAGATCCAGTTTTTCACCCCATTTTAAGATGGGTTGTATTGCATTTTCAAACACTTGATGCTGATTAACACTCCAGAAGTGGGAGAAATCAACATTACAAATACTGGTGTAAGTTCATCTACTTGAAGAGTACATCTCGGAAAAGAAAATGGTATTACCTAACTAGTGAGCTAGTTGTAAATGAGTAAGTGAAGTGTTACCAGTTTAAAAGTATGGAATTGAAATGCAGACTTTTATATGCATCCCAAGAATATTGTGATGAATTTCCACAATCACTTTGTGCAGGTATAGTGTTAAGCCATTATTACCACATATTCCAGGAGTTAAGCTTTAGGGTCACGGTAGAATTATTAGATATAGTAGGTTTTTATTAGTCCATCGTGTAGCAGTTTGCAGACTGGAGAAACCCCAAGGCTCCTTGGAAGCTTATTAGGAGTTGCTCTGTGAGATCAATAATGGCAGATGGACTTCTGTAAAAGACAACTTGTCCACCCCTGCTGTTCTTCCTCTGCAACGTGCAGAGGAGTGTTCGGTGTATTCTAGCACACACTTCCTGGAAAATCAGGAAACCTTTCCCCATTGGTTTATTAAAAAACGTATCTGCTGTTGAATCCCAGAGGATTTGGGGCCCTGCTGAAAGGCATCTGCTGTATTCTCGTGGGGCACCAGCCAGGCCTGTTGGGCCTCCCTGTGGACGCACGTGAGCCGAGATCACAGCTTAGAACACACAACAAGTTCTGTCCATCTGCAAGGTGCAGCTTTTAGGTGTTACTGCTGAGACCATCAGGGGGAGTGGAGGAAGATGCTAGGGCTTTGACGGCACCTGGACTGAGGAGGCAGTGTCACCATTGGAGAGAGTGATCACAAATGGACGCTGCATGTGACCTCAGAACACAGTATATAATACAGACTGGAAGGGAATGTCCATCATTACAAATCATTTTATTCAAGGACCAAAAATCCCTGACAGTCCCTGGAATAAATCACGGAGTTAGAAGGGATGTTCTCAAAGGCAATGGCTGTGGTCTAGAAAATCATGCCGCTTGCCTTCCCTTGGCAAGCTACTAAAAATAATTTAAAAATCAAGTTACTGTGCACCCTTTTAAAAGATCTTTTCACTGGGATTAGCCTGTGTGTGCTCCTAAAAGTGCCTGTATACATAAGGTTTTGTATATTTCTAACATTATATTGTAGATTTTTGCAAATTTTTGAGTTGCAGTGAGACAACTTTGTACACAGAAACATTGTCTTAAGATTTAATTCAGACTTGAGAGCCATTAAATGTCCTTTTCTTCAGAAGTATGTTTTTAAAAATTTGTTTGCTATGTTTATAGTCCACCTTTCTCACTGAGACTCCAGGCAGATTATGACTAAAAATCATTAAGAACAATATCATGTAAACTTGCTGCAGAATTTGAGAACGCTGCATTAAAAACTCAGTCTCATACTGTTGGTAAAGCAGGAATTACAAGACTGGAGACCATGATGCAGTGGAACATTACAATGCATACAGCAAATAGTGTCATAAAGCAGGACTGCAAAATTAAAGAACAGTACAATAAACACGGCATAATAATACGCAATGAAGACTGCCTTAAATCCCACAGACATTAACTACAGTCTTATTTACTTTATAAAAATGCCCTCCTGAATGATTCCATTTTACACGTTCTGTGGAACTTAGACCTTTTTTTATTAATGTGTATAAAAGCTAAAACCTACCCGAACATTCATTGTCATTTGAGTTATTTGGCTAGAAAGCTCTTAGCCCACCTGTCAGCACAACAGTTCTCAAGGCAGGTACAATTCAGCGACATCAGAATATCACCAAAAGCTGTGTAGGACGGCCCTGCCCTGGGTAGCCCAGGCAAGCCTGATCTCATCAGCTCTCGGAAGCTAAGCAGGGCCTACCCTGGCAACTTCTTGGATGGGAGACCTCCAAGGAATACCAGGGCTGGGAGGCAGAGGCAGTTTGTCACACCACTTCTCTGGAGAGCCAGTTTGGTGTGGAGAGCCAGTTTGGTGTAGTGGTTGTGTGCGCGTACTCTAATGTGGGAGAACCGGGTTTGATTCCCCACTCCTCCACTTGCACCTGGCTGGATGACCTTGGGCAAGCCGTAGCTCTGATAAGAGCTGCTTCTTGAAAAAGGGCAGTTTCTGTCAAGTGCTCTCTCAGCCCCACCTACCTCACAGGGTGTCTGTTGTAGGGAGGGGAAGGGAAAGGAGTTTGTAAGCCACTCTGAGACACCTTTGGGTAGTGAAGGGTGGAGTATAAATCCAATCTCTTCTTCTTCTTCTTCTTCTCTGTGCCCCAGTAGGAGTTGCCAAAGGTCGCCAGGACTTCCAGGCAGGGGTACGCACCCGCACACACATACACACAAAATGCAAAAATACAAAAAACAAACAAACCCCCAGTCGTGAAGGACAGAAGGCTGTATACTTCAATAAGTAAAACATGGGGAAAGTATTTGTTACAAAAGTGAGAGAATGTACACATTTATGTCTGTACTGTAGATTTCTGATAAGACAGTGAAGGAATGCCAGGTGTTTTTTTTGCAAAAGTTTCTTTTTTGTTGTTGTTGCCTCCTTCAGCATTACCATTTGTGTGAGGATGTTTGTGCCTTACTGAGCCACTGTTTTTGTTACTGAAAATTAGATAACCATAAAAAATATGCATACCTATTCCCCTTTTTGTTACTGAAAATTAGATAACCATAAGCATACCTATTCCCTTTCTTTCATATTTTGTAGTGGGCTTGTGCCCCTCCATAACGCATGTTCTTATGGACATTACGAAGTTACAGAGTTGCTGTTGAAGGTAAGTTCAGTGAGGAAACGATTTCAAATTAAATGTACTGCATATTATGTGTCAGCAATAATGAGCCATTTCCATGTTGGGCTTCGTCAAAGAGCTTCACATATGGTCTGTTATGCTTAAGGGTTGCCAGCTTCGAGTTGGGGAATGCCTGGAGATTTTGGGGGTGGAGCCTAAGGAGGGGGGAGTTTGTGGTGGGGAGAGACTTCAGTGGGGCAGAGTGACATAGAGTCCACCTTCCAAGTGTCCATTTTCTCCTGGGGAACTGATCTCTGTCACCTGGAGATCAGTCGTAATCCCAGGAGATCTCCAGCCACCACCTGGAGGTTGGCAACCCTAGTTATCCTAATAATTTTTTATTTTATTTTTTTAAAGGCTGCGGTCAGCCTTTATGCAGAGGTGTTGATGGCTGGCTTGTGTTCAGATAAGAAGCACCTTAGAGGATTCAGCCTTCCCAGAAAGAGACATACTGGGAAAAGTGATGAGGGGAGAAGCAGGAACCTGCAAGCATAGTTGCATGGTCCAGAAAGGACCAGAGGTGCTCTTAGCCAAGTGTTCTTCTCAATTAATTGAAACAGATAACAGTTCCAAGCTGTCGACATTGTACAGATCCATTGCTGCCTTCCCTAGAGAGGTGTGTTTCCCACAGGGTAGTTTCCCTCTTGCTTTTGTGGCTGCTCATACATCACAGCAGTGACAGAGCTTCCACACGGCAGGATTCCTTGGTAGTTTCTCCCCCCCCCTTTGATTGGTGATTTAATAGCATTGTAACAACATATTGCTGTACCCAGATTTCCACGAGGTTCTCTGAATTCCCAGCTTTCATTTTTTGAAGCCTGTTTTTAAACCCCTGCTTCCATATAGGTCCACAAGAAAAGGGGCTCAATAATTACGTTTTTTTTAAAAACGAAAGCTGGGAATTCAGGAAGCCAATGCATAGTTCGATGTGGCAGAAGGGAGAAAAAGAAAAACCCTCTGCAGAAGGTAAAAGAGATGGTTACCATGGTGGAAATGGCTGCTGCGTGGGCAGGACTAGGAAGATCCAAAGTTCCCCACCCGCACAACAGCCATCCAGGCTTTGCAGATATCTTTCCCGAAATATGGGAACAAAGCAGGTTTGGGGGAAAATGGAGAAAAGCAGAGGAAATCCTGGCAGGTGCATGAATGTGGAGAAGGAGGAAAAGACCCACTTCCCAACAGCGTGAAACCTGGGGCAAAAAACCTGTGTGGAAACACCCCAAATGTTTTAGGCATTCCTTTTCACTCAATAAGAACACAAGAAAAGCCAATGTTGGATCAGGCCAATGGCCCATCCAGTCCAACACTCTGTCACACAGTGGCCAAAAATACCAGGTGCCATCGGGAGGTCCATCAGTGGGGCCAGGACACTAGAAGCCCTCCCACTGTCCCCCCCCCAAGCACCAAGAATACAGTGCATCACTTGCCCCAGACTGAGAGTTCCTCTCTATACCTCGTTCCTCTCTGCTCCATATATTTATCCAGTTCCCTCTTGAAGCCATCCATGATTGTAGCCGCCGCCACCTCCTGTGGCAGTGAATTTCTCAGCGATTTCATTGGGTGCCCCCGAGTTCTTGTATTGTGAGAAAGGGAGGAGAGTACTTCTTTCTCTACCTGCTCTGTCCCATGCATAATCTTATAAACCTCAATCATGACACCCCTCAGTCGTCGTTTCTCCAAGCTAAAGAGCCCCAAGCGCTTTAACCTTTCTTCATAGGGAAAGTGTGCCGACCCTTGATGAATGAGCTTCCTAGGGCACAGTTCAAAGCACTGGTTCTTACCTTTAAAACCCTAACTGTCTTGGGGTCAGTGTATTTGAAGGACCACCTCCTTCCATATTGTCCAGCCCCGCCAGCTAAGATCTTTCCCACAAGCCCCACTCTCTGTGCCTCCACGATCAGAGGTGTGGCAGATTGTAGCGAGAAACTGGCGGGAGTGCCTTTTCAGTAGTGGCACCTGGCTTGCATTGCTCTCTCTCTTAGGCACCGGACCAAAAACCTTTCTGTTCACCCAGGCTTTTATTTAAGGGCTTGGTCCATGATCAACATTTTGTAATGTGCTTTCCTTCTGAAGACTGTTGTTTTAAACTGCTTGATGAGCTATGTTTTTATGCTCTGGCTGGGTGTTCCGTTCTGGATTTTAACTAATAGCTTTTAATGCTTTATGTTTTTATTGTGTTATATTTTGTAAGTGCCCTGGGCAGATCACCTGGAGAAGCAGGGAGTGAACAGGGGAAATTGTGTTGTTCACTCAAGGGAACTGCCCATCCAAGAGGCCACAAAGGATCATGTATGAAACTTATGACTGGCATCTTGTCTGTGACATGGCATTAATTAACAAGTGTTGTCGCAGAGCAGTCTTAAGAGCCAATTTTGCTGAATCATTGGGACTGCTGAAGCCTGAGTTACTCCATCTCAGTAGTTAATTAAAATAGGCAAAATATTAATCCTGGTCTACACTGGTAAAGTAAGATAGCATTATCCCCATATTGCAGGTATGGACTGATGCTGGAAGGCCACCCACTGGGGCTCGGTAGTGGAGATTAGACTTGCACTGGAAACCTAACACATCTTGCTCTTTACCACTATGTTATGCCAGCTCGTATTGAAATAATTCGTTCTCACAAAGATAACGATCTTGCCAATCTCTCAGTGCTGATTCCAGGCTTTCAGCGTGCCCTTGTAGCACTGAATCTAGAATACATTTCTTGCTATCAAGTGCTTTATTAAATGAAATTATTTTAATTGTGTTGTTATAATATCAGTTCATTCCCATCTACGATTTCATTAGACGATAATGAAACCTTATTCTGTTACATGCTGCTCTTAATTGGAAAAATGAGATTACACAGCGAACATGTGAACTTGATTAATCCTTGCCTTCTCTCCTTATTTAGCACGGAGCCTGTGTTAATGCGATGGACCTCTGGCAGTTCACCCCCTTACACGAAGCGGCTTCCAAGAATCGGGTGGAAGTTTGTTCTCTGCTACTGAGCCATGGCGCAGATCCGACTTTGGTCAACTGTCATGGCAAGAGTGCCGTTGACATGGCCCCGACGCCTGAGCTCAGAGAGAGGCTCACGTGTAGGTATCTCCAGAGGACAACATGTTCCCCTCCAGAGAGGGCTGTAAGGTGTGCTGCTCTTCTGTAGGGGTGCAGTGATACCAAACGCGATTGGCCACACTCACTTTAATTTAAAACATCCCTACCCCAAAATTTTACTCTTATGCCTGAAAGGGTATTTTTATTTTATTTTTATTTATTTATTATTGCACTTCTACCCCGCCCTCCCCGTGAGCGGGCTCAAGGCGGATCACAACAGGGCACCATGTGCCGACACATAAAAACAGGATGGAACAATCACATATCAACCAATAAAGTGCTCAGCGATTTCAATCTATCAGTTAAGCAAGATGGCAGCCCCAGGATGTTGCATAACGATGTCAGTCCTTCACTAGAGGAGGATAATGTCCCATAGATGTTGCTCGTCCTCATCCAGCGGAATTCTTGAGTGTGGGCATCCCTTGTGCGCTCTTCGAATCCAGAGGAGTCGATTCGTGTTTAGAGGTTGGTGGGCAGGGCTTCAGTGCCAAACGCTTGACCTCGTTGCACTCCTCCCAGCTAATAGAAACAGAAGCAAATACTTCTTGCCCTGACCTGGGTGGCCCCAGGCTAGCCTTGTCTTGTGAGATCTCAGAAGCGAAGCAGGGTCAGCTGTGGCTGGTACTTGAATGGGAGACCACCAAGGAAGTCCAGGGTTGCTATGCAGGGAAGGCAACGGGAAGCCACTCTCCGTTCATCTCTTGCCTTGAAAACTCTATGGGGGTCACCATAAGTCAGCTGCCACTTGATGGCACTTCCCACCAGCAAATTCTTCTCCCCCCTGCCCCCATCCACACACACCGGTGGCTTGGATGGCACAGAGCAATTCCCACTGACAAAACCATCTCTTTCAGCAGAGCCTGAGTTTATATTTCTCTCCCCATCCCTCCTGCCACAGCCCAAAGTGCCCCCCTCTCGTGCCCCTCCTCGGGGACTGGAGTCATCCATGAGCTGGGATTCTTAACCAGGGTTTAGTCCGGGTTTGGTATCCTGCTTAGGGAAAGGAACAAAACGAACTCCGGTTAATCTACTTTCAGGTGGGTAGCTGTGTTGATCTGCAGCAGAAGAGCAGGATTGGAGTCCACTGGCCTCTTAGAGACCTGCAAGACCTCTGGGGCACACGCCTTTAGTCAAAGCTGCAGTTAAACTGCACACGTGTATTTGTACGTCACTGATAATGTATTTATTTATCGATTTGATTTGATTAATACACCGCCCTCCCCGCCAAGGCAGGCTCAGGGTGGCTTACATATATGCAATAGCTCAAGACAGCAATGTAATAAAAGCATTAAATCTTAAAACAACAACCAAAGGTGCTAATAACAATTTAAGTAACGATGGCGAAGGCAGAGTGGCATCAACACAATGGCAAATGCAGCCAGTATTAGATTTTAGTGTCGGCGGAACTCAGGCCGTCGGTGATGGTATTGGGCCACCGGGCCCTTGGTGTATTGGGTGCCTGGTGGAAGAGCTCCATCCTAATCAGAGTTAGCCTTAGACCATTGTTCCTTCATCATGCTGGGGTCAGTGAGGACTGGGGAGCCAGGTGCCCACGTGAGATCAGCCAAAGAAACATACCATGCAGTCCAAGGCAGCTATACCCTTCTAATCTCATTGACTTCAGTAGACTTTAAAAGGGGGGTAGTTCTGTTTAGGATGGTAGTGAGAGCCAGTTTAGAAGCCTTTCCACAGCATTCTTTGTTTTGTTTGGACCTTTGCTACAAATAGCTTTGATGCACCTGAATTTTAACCTGAACTGGGTGAGGCTGCTTGTTTTGCTTGGGGCGGGAGTAGGTTGGTCCATTGTTGGGACAGAATTTCTACGGCTTTGGGCTTGTTCCAGTTCCCTGTTGCTGATCTTTCAGAGTTGTATTTTCACATGCTTGCAGTAGATTTTTTTCCCTCTCAACTTGGCCCTTTCAAGAGCAGCTGTAACTGGAATGAACCAATTTTGCACTGAAGTAATTGTCAGGTTGAGAAGCATCATTGAAATGGGGTAAAAAAAACAACCCACACACACACGAATGCCTTGGCCCAATAAATATTCTTTTGCCTTCAACAGGTTCATTCTGGTGACTAAATTAGGATAGTGAAATATATAGAATTACGTCCTCCCTCCCTCCCTCCCCCTCCTCAAGCTCATGGTCATTTTCTAAATTTAACGTTGTGCAAGTCTGACAGGCTCATGAATATTTTGCGTGTCCTCCCCTGCAGATGAATTCAAAGGACATTCGTTACTACAAGCCGCGAGAGAAGCCGACTTGGCCAAAGTGAAGAAGACACTTGCCTTGGAGGTCATTAATTTCAAGCAGCCGCAGTCCCACGAGACGGCACTGGTGAGATCATGGAGTCACTGGGGTTTGCTTTCGGCGGCCCTTTAGGCTATGTATACATAATGGTTGCTGAAGCGGTCTGTGGTTAGACTGGTTCCTTCAGGTTAAATGTAGTTCAGCCCCTTTGTGAATCTAACTGGATGCACCGCTTGCCTCTTCAGCCCAAGGGTGCTGCTGTGGACAAAAAACAGTAAACGGAAGTTGGGCAACAAACAGAAAGCCCTCCCTGCTGCATCTCCGTGACCTTTCTTTGGACTCCAGTCCAGCCTTGCATCCAGGGGGGGAAAAATGAGTTACTTGTCCCGTACTAACCTTGAAATATACTGACGGGTTGCAAGCCCTGTCTGTTTCTTTAGTATCCCGTTCAGTATCTTTTCCCGCCTGAGGCTTCCGTGTGTTCACAGAGTGCCGTTTCATTTGCAGCACTGTGCCGTGGCATCTCTCCACCCCAAGCGGAAACAAGTTACAGAGCTGCTGCTTCGGAAAGGGGCCAACGTGAACGAAAAAAACAAAGAGTACGTGGGTTCTCTGATAATGGCAGCGTTTGCATTGAGGCGGAGCTAGGTCCTGTTCTCAAAGCTGTTCGTTTGTGTCTCTCTTTTGAAATGCAGTTTCATGACACCTTTGCACGTGGCTGCTGAACGAGCACACAATGACGTGATGGAGGTTCTGCATAAGCACGGAGCGAAGGTAAGTACTGGACTGTGCTTTAAGAACGTAAGAAGGGCCCTGCTGGATCAGGCCAGTGGTCCATCTAGTCCAGGATCCTGTCTCTAATAGTGGCCAGTCAGTTTCTCTGGGAGTCCCACAATGGGGCATAGAAGCCAAAGCCTTCCTCTGATGTTGCCTCCTGGCACTGGTATTCAGAAGTTTCCTGGTTCTGAATGTGGAGGTTCCCTTTAGTCACCATGTGGATAGTAGCTTGTGACAGTCCTTTCCTCCATGGATCCGTCTAATCCCCTTCTAAAGCTGTCTGAGCCTGTGGCCATCATTACATTCCCTGGTAGCGAATTCCACGTTTTAATCACTTGCTGTGTCATGCCTATCCTGAATCTAACACCCGTCAGCTTCATTGTATGCCCTTGAGGAGTTCTAGTATTTTGGAAGAGGGAGGGAAAATGTCTCTTTGTCAGCTCTCTTCACCCCATGCATAATTTTACATACCTCTCTTATGTCCCCCCTTAGTCATCTCTTCAGCCTTTCCTCATAGTGGAGGTGCTCTAACCTCCTCATCACCTTAGTTGCCCTGTTCTGTATTTTTTCCAGCTCTGCGATGTCCTTTTTGAGATATGGTGACCCAGAGCTGCCCACAGGATTCCAAATGAGATCTGTATGGGGGGGGGGGGCATTATATTCTTGGCCGTTTTATTTTCAGTCTCTCTCCTAATAATCCCTAAAATAGACTTTGCCTTTTTCACTGCTGCAGCACACTGACTTGACACTTCCATTGCTGTGACCCCCAAGATCTTTCCCCCTCTCCGTCTCCACAAGTTCAGACCCCATTAGCCTGTACTTGAGCTGGGATTTTTTTGTTCCCGTGTGCTTAATTTTACCAACACTGAACTTCGTCTGTCACATTGTTGCCCACTTGCCCAAATTGTGGAGATCCGGAATCATTTTGTGTCATCTGCAAACTTTAATGCGGCTTTAGTGTGGTAAGCTTGAATATGGCTGGTGCATAACCGTGTGGCTTATGGCCACATGAAACTTGATTGTTCCAGGATTTTTGTTGGCTTCTGAGAAAAAGGTTGGGGTCTTCTGTCGTATGATTGAATGTAGCTGCTGCTGTTGTCACTGGATATATGTAGGCTCTGATAGGTGGAAAACGTAATTTCCAGATGTTCCCTGGTAGTTTGGACTGACTTATGAACAGATGGATGTGTCTGTCTTGAATTGTCTTTTTAAAGGTTGCTTTTGAGATGCTTTTGGGGTGTGTGTGCAGGTTAATCTTCATTTGATGCATGTAGTACGCTTGGCAAAGGCTGACTTAGCCTTGAAAAAAATTTTCTGGGATAAAGTAGTTCTGCTTGTGTCAGTTTCTCTCTAGGTTTTCCATAGTCAGCCTTGGTGTGAGGCAGGCATGGCATCACAAGTTAGGTCCACACAGGCGGTTTGCAGCTCCCGTCATGGTGACGTTGGGGCAGTGGGCTAGGGAGAGCAGTGGCGTTGCCTGCATTTGTCACACCCTTCTGTGTTGCCTGGTGTTCAGATTTCCAAAGAAGGGATTCCAGTGCTTGTCACGTTGTGGCCTCGCTGCAGCTGTGCGGATAGCATGCCTGAACCGGCCTACCTTTCTTGCATGTGCTCCAATCAACAGAGGCACTGCAATCAGAGTGTTAATTACATGTCGCTTATGATAGCTGAAGGTCGCTGGATGTGTGTGTACATGTGTGTTAAATGCCATCAAGTCACCTCCAACTTACAGCAGGCGACCCTCCAAAACACCCTGTTCCCATCGTTAACAGCCTTGCTCAGGTCTTGCAAACGGAAGGCTGTGGCTTCCATGATGGGGTCAGTCCATCTCATGTTGGGTCTTCCTCTTTTCCTGCTGTCTTCCACTTTTCCTAGCATTGTGGTCTTGCCCAGTGACTCTCGTCTTATAATGTGACCTGAGTACGATCGTCTCAGTTTAATAATTTTGGTTTCCAGGGAGAGTTCAGGCTTGGTTTGATCTAGCTCACTTATTTGTGTGTTTTTTTGGCGGTCCATGGTATCCATAGAACTCCCCCAGCACCACATGTCAAAGGAATCAACTTCCTTCCTGTCGGCTTTCTTCACTGTCCAGCTTTACACCCATACACAGTAATAGGGAATACTATGGCATGAATTAACTTGATCTTTATCGCCAGCAACACATCCTTCCACTTAAGAATGTTTTCTTGCTGGGTGCATGTACTTGGGTTATAACATAGAAGTGTGCGTGCGCACATGCACACCTTTTTAAAAAGAGCATCATTTACAAAGCTGGCACAGGTGAATTCTCAGCACTGGGTTTACTTTGATTAGCTATGTCTATCATTTCCTTTGAAATGTCCTTTAAGGGTGTAGGTACATATTTGTAATCGGTAAATGTTAGAGCTTGCTGCTAGATACTGGGGCAAGTGATGCACTATATTCTTGGTGCTTGGGGGGGGGCAACAGTGGGAGGGCTTTTAGTGTCCTGCTGGACCTCTTGATGGCACCTGGTATTTTTGGCCACTCTGTGACACAGAGTGTTGGACTGGATGGGCCATTGGCCTGATCCAGCATTGGCTTCTCTTATGTTCTTATTCCAGTTCATGTCTCCTGTGGTTGCTTCCATTGACATAAACTTCAGGTTGTATTTTTCAGCAATTTTTAAAAAATAATTTTTATTGTAGAACGCAAAACAGTAAAATTACATAACAACGTAGTTCTTTTCATATTTTAGAATGTACAAAAATGCAATTGATAAAAAGCATAGGTTAGTTGCATTATTTGACAACAACAATTTGATGTTTTAACAATAGTGCAATTTCAATAAAAGGTAAATCTTAGATCCTGTTATAAGTATAACACAGAGTACTATGGAGTGTCATG